ATCTCTTAACTTCTAATTTATACACATTTTTATCTATCAACTTTAAGTTAAAAGATTAAAAATATATATTTAAATAAATTTAACAAATTAACTAATGAAAAAAACTAAAAAAAAATATTTTTTACAATTAAGAGATAAAAAATGACAAAAAAAATTTGAGAGATAAAAATTATATAAAACTTTAAAATTGAAAGACTAAAATCAATATTTAATCAACAAAATATCAAATGACCATGACCCACCTCGTTTTCTACCATATACTTTAGTGAAGATCATTTGTCGGCGTCCTGCCTTTGAAACTCAACTCCTTTTCCATTCTCTTAGAATAATAAAAAATAAAAATAAATATTGAGTTGAACTATATTGACATGCACCCTGTTATTATAGTCCATTTTAACTTATTATAAAATAGCTCTTAGAATAAAAAAAAAGAAAAAAGAAAAAGAGAAAAGAAGAAGAAGAAGAAGGGCCCCTACCTAATTAATTAAAAACCATATATGTCTACATATTCTTGACCATACGGATATATCAAGCCGATTTGAGACATTCTTGTTAATTACTTTTGTCATCAAATATGTAAAATGAGAAGGCTAGCCCTCCCAGTAGGTAAAGCTTAAAATCAAATAAATCAAAGAGATACAGCTAAATATATAAAAATGGCATTTGAGACTAAAGGACAAATACATGCATGTCTGGAATATCGTCTATCTTCCGAAAACTGTCTGAACCTTTGAGGCCGTATCAAAGCTTAAACATGTTTTCCTTTAACGAATCTTGAAAAGATTTTTCCTTTTACGTCGCGGGTGGTTTTTAGCTGTTTAGGCATTGTAAATATGGGTTTTTGATGGAATTTGGTACATTATTATTATTTTTTTTATATTAATTTCTCAGTATTCGGCAACCACTTTAAGTTCTAACTAATGTGTAATCGAGTGACGTCAGACTCCATTAAGGAAAACTTTCCCAGCGTCTGTTTCTCTATTCATAAAATTCAAACTCGATACCTTATTTAAAGGGAATCAAGCTCTTTCCACTCGAACCAACAAGTTGTTAGTTTTTTTCTTTTTTTTGAATACATTAGATATGATATACAATAAAAAAATAATTTTTAAATTTTTTTTAATCTATTTTAAAATTTAAGTTTAAAATTTTTAAAATCAAAATTTAAATTCTTAACTAATTATATGTTCCTTTACAAACATCTTGTACATTAGTGTTTGAATGATTACAGCCATGTATGTAAATATGTATTTTTGAATAAGTATGCATGTCCGAAGTCTTCTTGTTCTAGATTCTTCCAAAGAGTCAACTGACCTCTGTCACTGGTGCATTTCATGGATTCCTAGTTGTTAGCCCACAATGAATAGCCCAAAGCAAATTCGAAACTTAGTTCACTGCTGGGTTTGGGCTAAAACGGCCCAATTAAAGACGGACAGAGGAAACATGCGAATATTTACGCGCAATGCCATAACGACAAAAACGATCTGAGATGGAGAGCAGCACATGATTTAAATCTCATCTGATTCCGTCGAAGAAGATGGCGACGGTTTCTATGTCCCTCTCGTTTCCGGCGTTAAGCTTTCATAATTTCCGGCGCACCAAGCGGTGAGTATTTCTCCTGTTTTTGGCATCCTCATTTTGTTTTTGTTCGATTCGCAAGTAAATGCGAGTTCGTACCGAACGGTCAACTGGCTAGGAATTTCAATTTGAGTGCAGGTTCTCCGGTATGGCTTCGGCGAGCGCAAACAAAGAAGCCACTTCTGTGGGAGTGAGAATCACGGAAGGGGAAGGCAAGCAACCAAAGGTTGTGCTCACTTCTGTTCAGGGCAGGTAATGTTTAAAGATGATGCTCCTTTTTATGTTTTAATTTTTCTGATTTCTCTGTTGGATGAAATTAATCTGATCTTTGAACTTTTCATTGATGCACATGTTTTGATTGAAACGAATTATAGTTGATTGTGTCGTCTTTGATGATATAGTGAAGCTGAGGTATATTTGTTTGGGGGTTGCATTACATCTTGGAAAGTTCCAAATGGCAGAGATCTGCTTTTTGTTCGACCAGATTCTGTATTTAACAAAAAGAAGCCAATCAGGTAATTTTCAAGCCACCTTAATCCGTAGTTAGTTTTCTGCAGTTTTCTTGCTTTCAGCTCTGGTAATTGTGTTTTTGATAAGATTTCAGTGATTAGTGAAAAAGATATGTGATCTATGTATAGCGTGCCAGTGTCTGGTATGGCCTTGGACTAGGTAGAATGGACAAAAAGGATTATGTAGGAAACTGCAACTAGTTTTGGTTTAAGATTTATTTGAGTTTTATTGAGCATACTGTCTATAGAGAGAGGGAGAGAGAGGGAGAGAGAGAGAGAGAGAGAGATACAGGACGTTTAATTTTTATCTCTAGCATGGATTTTTAATTGATCTCAGCTTCATTTCAGTTAATTTAGACTGTATTATGGAAACTTAACCAAGCTGAGGTTGGATACTGACCGTATCTCCATTTGGGTAGTGGAGGCATTCCCCATTGTTTCCCTCAGTTTGGACCTGGCCCAATGCAGCAGGTATGACCTTCTATCATTGGTCCATTTTACATCAGTAAGTCAGTATCATTCATTAATCTATCCACATTTCATAGTGGCTGCCTCATATTTTTCATTAGCTGCCAAAGATAACTCTTAGTCCAAGCCTAATGAGGACTGAACCATCTACTTGAGCATAAAGGGAAAAGTGGAGGGAGGAGCAGTAAAACTATTACCTTTCATGTGTATATTATTTAGTCTCTTCACTTTTCTTTAAATTTTGGTGTTTACGTAATCTACAGCATGGATTTGCAAGGAATATGGATTGGTCCGTCATTGATTCTGAAAATGTGGAAGGTAATCCTATTGTGACTCTTGAACTAAAAGATGGTCCTTACAGTCGCTCCATGTGGGATTTTGGCTTTCAGGCTATATATAAGGTGAGTAATTACTCTCTGCACAGCCAAATTCTCTGCTTATTGACTTAGGTAACTTTATGGTATGCCCATTTACTAGTGAAATCTGAAGTCTGCAGGTTTACAGGCTAGATTCACTGTTTGTTTAATTGTTTCAGGTCATTCTAAATGGGAAGAGTATTTCAACAGAACTAAGTATAACAAATACAGACAATAAGCCGTTTTCATTCAATGCTGCCTTGCATACATATTTCCATGTGAGTACCTTAATTCCATATTTGGGAGATGCAATGACTCTGGCTTTAACCAAACTATGATAGTACTATTTTTGTTTTATGGATTTTCCTATGGACATGAATATTTCTTTTTGTTATTGCTTCGTGGGGCCTTGCGATAAGTTTTACAAGAAAATGACATAGACATTAGGAATTAACTGGAAAATGCCATCAGTAGCAAGTGAAGAGCCTCAGGAGAAAATGATACAGTTTTTACTCACCTCATTTATGTTTCTATTCTTCCACAATCGATAAAGAAGAGATTACACACACACACACACACACATTCACATCTTGATTGGGTCAAGGATCTTAAACATGAACAAAATATTTCACAAATTAACTCTGAATTATCGTGCAGGCATCTGTAACAGGGGCATCTGTGAGAGGTTTGAAAGGTTGCAAAACTCTTAATAAAGATCCAGATCCAAAGAATCCTATTGAGGGTCAGGAAGAAAGGTCAGTAACTCATGTTCAAAAAAATTATGAAAGGCTTATCTTCAAAATGAGTTTTAAATGTTGATATATGGAGAGCAAGGTTATCATGATATCTTGAGGTACTTAATATTGAGGGTATTGACAATATTATAAGTTAAATTTAATTTATACCCAACTTCATATGTTACTTCATCAATGTCTTACTATCTCTGTCTTTTATCTGACTCTTCATTTTCATTTTTGAAAAGAAAATGATGAACTTTTGTTGGTCAGTTCTTTCATGATTCATGCACACAATTAACAAGCATCTGTAGCACTAAGCAAGTATATAACTTTTACCTGTTAAAGTGTTGAATGTGTTCTCTACATACTTTTTCCACCAAAAGAATAAAAATCTAATACTGCAGTACATACCCATCTTTATCATTTACCATGAAGTTTAGAGATTCTTTTTGCAAAGAGTTTATGGGACTCACCACTATTTTATTAACTACTCAGGGATGTCGTCACCTTTCCTGGATTTGTAGATTGCATTTACCTTGATACTCCTGATGAATTGAGCCTTGACAATGGCTTGGGTGATGTCATATCTATCAGGAATACTAAGTATGCACTTTGGAACTTTGTCTTACTTTCTTATTTGGCTTTGGTCAGTTTCCTCAAATGGCTGTTTTTCACATTTTCCTATCCACAATCCCTTCTTTTTGCTCAGTTGGTCAGATGCTGTTTTGTGGAACCCACATCTCCAAATGGAAGCATCTTACAGAGATTTCGTTTGTGTTGAAAATGCTAAGGTATTAATCTAATTACTCATTTTCTAATAGGTAACTGGTGAAAATGGATGGAAACTTTTTTTTTTTTTTTTCAATTTTCCTCTTACAGTGTTCTGATCAAGCAGTTGTGGTTACTAAATTCCATTTCTGATTATTATCTACTGATCCTCCCCAACATTTGCTATAATTTCCACTCAGATTGGAACTGTCCAGCTAGACCCAGAACAGGCTTGGACAGCAAAGCAGCATTTTAGCGTTAGCTGAATTGCTCAAATGTATGTTGCACTTCTTTCAAAGTTTGTAGAACCTCTTGCTTGCTCCCTTCTTTTACTTTTTGAAAGTTTAGCATTTTGTTCTGTAATCCTTTCCAGCTACATGAGATAGAACTTGGTGTAGTTATAGGTTCATATTGTGATTTCCCGTTACTGTCTTAATATATTATCATTTTAGTTAATAAACTTTTTATTGTATTTTAGTCTTCAAAAACCATTAGATTCTTAATGATTCAAATTGAAACATTTATCGATTCACTTCTCAATTCAACATATTACGATTCAACATATTACGTAATATATCTATTAAAAAATATTATTTTTTAATTTGAAATTAAAGTCATGCAAACTTAAAGATACAGTTATGCATACAATTTGTAGGGTACCTGGCTGAATGATTGCACCTTGGAAAATGCTTGCCATGACTGTACTGACCACCTGAGGATTGCAGTGAAAGAAAGTAACATTGTTTGGCTTGATTCCTGCCTCTTTGCTTGTGCATAAACCGATTGAGAAACAAGGGAAATAAGGTACAATGAGTTAATCTAAACTGTTTATTCAGAGGAGAGATCAAAGAAACAGAGGCAACTCAAGATGCCGTACAAAACAAAGCAAGAGCCTGTCAAATTTTCATGAACGTTAATATAAGATAACAGAGCACAAAAACTGCCATTGATTGCATTTTAGTGACATGGATAAAACCCTAGCTAGCTAAAAAATCTGAATCAGGCAAAATTTACAGGCTTAGAAACCCTAATGAAGATCATTTGAACTTGTCTCTTCTCAAGAACTTAGCATTGAAATGATGCAAACCAGCAGTACGATGAACCCCACAGCCCAAACCCAGTACACCCATGTCTTCCTCTTCTTCTTCATCTGCTTTGCATAGTAAAGGCTGTCGGTGCCGCCATTGATAAACTCACCGGCGCTAGCTACATTCTCTTCAATATCATCTATCTTTTCCCCTTGTGTCTCGACCAGAACTGCCATGTCCAGAAACACCTGATGCAGCCTGTTCAAACTCCTCTGAATATCCATGACTCCGTCATGCTTCACGTCATCCCCTGCTTTCCCGTAACAAAACTGAACCTTTTCGCAACCGGAAATGATCTTCTCGACCACCTCCTCTGTGGGTTCCTCGCCAGTGGCAATATAGTACTTTCTCTTAAGTTCTTCTTTGGATTCTGACAGAATCTTCTCCCTCAAGGACTGAAAATCGTTCATGATCTCCCTGAGCTTAGCTCTCAAACCGTTCGTGATCGATATCCTTGTTCGATCAACGCAAGTTCCTTCTTTATACGACTCCGACTTCCTCCGATTGGTCATGTTGGAGCGATCGAGAGATTCGAGCCTTCCCTTGACGGATTTCGCTTTGCGAAGAACAGAGACGATGTCAGATTCCATACGGTCTCTTAGTCCACGAAGAACTTTGGTGCTACGGGTGGATTTGGTTTCTTCATTAAGGTACTGAAGGTCCAACAAGAGATTGGTAATCTCTTCGATTTCAACCTCGATTGCAGCGACTTCTTGGAAGAACTGAGAAAGGTTCTGCTCGTCCATGGGAGTGAGTCGGCCACCTTTCTCGATGTCGGGATCAGATTCCATGTCTTTAATGGCCTGTTTCTTTAGTTCTACATAATTTAAGAACGATTTTGTCATCAAATCGTTCATCTTTGCATGAACTTTGCAAAACCCACCTGTAAAAAACAGAGGATTGAAAATAAGGGGGAAATCAAGGAAGAAACTTGAAAACCCAGAATGGAATTCGAAGTACCCTTTTAACAGATTCAGGATTTGGATCAAATTCTCGATATTTTTGGTTCCTCTGAATCGATTTCTTCACAAATCTAAGTTCATCAAAACCCAATGGGGAAAACAGAGCATCGAAACTTAGACTTGCTAAGGGAAAAGCAAGCAAGAAACTTCAAAACTCAAAACGAATTATAGAAGAAAAGTGATGTAAAGTGCAACACCCTTTTAACAGATTCAAATTTTGGATCAACTTCTCAAGATTCTTGATTACTGTGACTTAATTTCTCACTTAATTTCTCCAGAAATCTAACTTCAAAAAAGAACCAACACAAATTTAGGAACAATTGCAATATTAAAGATCATCAAGAAAAGTAATGGAGAAGAAGCCACATACGAGATGATGATTCTGAAAGTAAGAAGGGAAACCTGAGAGTTGGGGTTCATGAAATGGATGCAGAATATCTTGTCCTGCTCTGTATAGTGCCACAGAAAGGTTTTCTGAATTCTGGAACGCCAAGAACCTCTGTTTCTTTCGCGTGGGTACGCAATTTATAGTAGGGTGTTTTGGGGCTGACTCATTTATTGGGGATGAAAGACAGTTCAAGAGGGCTTTAAAGAGAATCAAATATCGCGGCTGTTCAGTTACGAAGAAGTTCAAATTTTCGTTT